AAAAAAAAAAGTATAAAAAAAAAAAAAAAAAAAGATGCTTGTTCCATTCTGGGGTGGCTTTTTTTTTCTTTTACAACTTTGTCTTTTGGTTGCAAATGAGCCCACAATGAAGCTTGCCTCTGTGTGTTGAGGCATTCATAACTTTTGCGCTCTGAATGGGTTTTCTGGAGTCTAGTAAGGGAAGCTCAACTTTTTAATCAATTAATGTATTTCACCTATACCCGTGTGCATGAAACTTGGAGGAATTTGGTATCTTTGAGACCGTCAGCTCTCTCAAATGTGGCTGAAGTTAAGCTGATGAGCATAAAAAAAAAAAATTACTGGGGAAGGGTCTGGGGGGTAAAGGGGACATGCAGTCCCAGTATAATCCCATAATCCTTGCTTCCTTAAGAATCTAGCCTGAGAATATTTTGGCTTGCTGAAACATTTTGGCTTGCTTCAAGCATTGCCAGCCATTCTTATTCATACAGCTCTCAGGCCTCTTTGCTAGACTAGGAATTTGCTAATGAGGAGCCTTGTGTCTGAGGTTTGGGGTTTTTTTGCATTTCCATTGAAAATTTGCTTAAACTTAACGATGTTCTAAGCCTCAGTGCAAACTGAGTTTTTCAGTCTGACCTCAGCTTTTCCAAATGACATCTCCAAACAGCTCGTTCTTACAGACCACACTCGGGTCTGGGCGCGTACGCCGTCCCGGAGAATGACCACGTGTGTGTGTCAGTGTGTTCACAAGCCCGCTCCGAGTGTAGGGAAGCCAGGAGCCCGTGTCTCCTGTGCTCTCCGGGATGCAGGCAGCCAGCAGCTGCCCCTCTGCTGAAAGGCAAAGCAGCTGAGCTGGCCCTGCTGTGATAGGAACGGACTCTGGTGCCTCTGTTGTTTCAGAGCTGATGCTTACAGCACCCCAAGAGTTTTGTTCCCATCTACGAGCAGCATGTGGATGCGTGCCTGGGGCTCTGGAATTGCACTCTGAAATTTTCTGGGTATTTCCCTTCCATCTAAGCAGGCGTGTCTGTGTTTATCATGAACACTGCTCCTTCTTTGTGTTACGGTGGACACAGCTGAGCTCCATCAGGGTGGTCCGTTCCAGGCAGCAGTGTCCTTGGTGGTACATCCTGCTTTAACAAGGATATACTCATTTATCACAGAGTTGCAGGTTCCTCTCTCTTTTAGCTGGGTGAATTGCAGGGTTTTGGA